ACTGTTTGTTGTTTTGGTGTAACAGTAAGTGATCTGTTTGTCAGGGGTTTGCCAAATTCCCACTTTTTGTGTCAAAAGTTGTAAAAATTTTGAAAAGTTCCTAGTTGTCGCAGAATTTATTAATAAAATATATTGTTTGCTTCTAAGATAGTTTCTTTGTTTTATACAAAGACTTCTTTTTTTCTATAAGAGTTTTGGCCGTTTGTTAACTTGTTTTTGTAAAATTTGGAGTTTTTACTAAGTTCTAAATTTGGACCAGAGGATCAGCAGAAAGAGTTTTTTTTCTTTATCGATTAAAATTAGAGTTAGGCTTAAGCTATAAGAGGATTTATATATATAAATTTCAAAGCTGAAAACTTTTGCTTAGAAGTTAAAATAGTTTTATAATAAAATTTAAAGGTATTAAAGTTTTGCTTTTACTCCTCTTTACATATATTCACCTATCTTTTATATATATATAAACAGTATTTTTACCAATTCATATAAACTTTTTTCTTGAAGTTTTCATTTTTAGAACTGTAATATTGTAAAATAACATGTAATTTGATTGGTTAATAATCACGTATAGAATTGCAAATCGATCCAAAAAACTAGCCAATTAGGCAAACTTCTGTCTATGGCCCTTAGGGTGTTCAATAAACTAATTTAATCAAAACATAGTTAGGATCATATATGATAATCATTAAGTTCAGATTTTTTAAAGGGTTATTTCATATATAAATTTATATATGAATTTGTACTAATTTAGGTCCATTTTTTTACACAACTAACAGACAAAATTGTACCATATCTTTTTTTAAACTGTAGTACTAGACTATCTCTACACTGTAACAGAACCAGTTTTTAAATAATCTATGTTAATTATTAATAAAAATTTATCCAAAATTTTATTAAAAGCAATTAAAAACCCAGTTCTGTTATAGTGTAGAGCTGTCTAGAACTACAGTTTTAAAAAAAAACATATACAATTTTGTTTGTTGGTTGTGTAAAAAAATGTAACTAAATTAGTACAAATTTATATGTAAAATAACCCTTTAAAAAATCCAAAATTAATGATCATCATATATGACCTAACTAAGTTTTGATCAATTAGTTTATTGAACACCCTACTGAAGCATGATTTGTAATAGAATTTTTTATAGTAATAACCAATATTTTTTTAAAAAAAATTTCATGGTAAAGGTATAGCAGAATGCTAGTGTAAATTTAAATACACAAATGTATTTATTTATATAAGTAATATAAACTTTTAAAAAGAAATAACCAATAAACAAGATTGAAATTTTTTAAAATTTCTAGTAATGATTTCTCATTAAGTACTTGATTAAATTTAGTAAGAAATTTTTATTTTAATTATATAATCTTGTAGAATTAAAATAAAAAAAGTTCATTGAATTTGGTTTAATAGTTGTCAAGAAATTATCATTAAAACTTAAAAAAAAATACAAAAAAAAATAATTTTTCTTTCTTTAAACTTTAAACAAAGATTTTACAAAATCAACTATCTGAATATAATGAAATTTTTTATTTTAATTCTGTAAGTTCATAGAGTTAAAATAAAAAAATTAGATTGAATTTAAATAGCTGGGGTTGAGAAATATTGATAACTTTGAAAATTAATAATTAATAATTTTTTATTGTAATTCTAAAATCAGATAAAATAGAATAAAATAAAATAAAAATTTAACCAAATTTGACCAGATTGTTAGCTTATAGTAAACATCATGCAGAATTAACTTGACCTTAATAAAATAGTGTATTCTACAGAAACTTATATTAAAAATTATAATAGTTTTGATACAAAGTAAACCACTGCATCTTATAATTACCAAGTAAGTTTTGTAACAGGATTTTTTATAGTGACTCATAATAAAAATTATGATAGTTTTAGTACTAATTAACACAACTTTAATTACAAACTAATGTTACTAGTATATTGTAATACATAATAAAAGTTATAATAATTCTGATACAAACAAGCTTAACTTTAATTACACACTATTCCTTACTAGAATAGTGAATTATATAATAGAAATTATGATAATTTTAATACAAACTAACTTATTATATTTTTGATTACTAGAGTGGTAAATAGATCTTGTAATAGAATTTTTTATTTATAATAACTTTTATAATAATTTTAATACAAACCAACTTAACCTTAATTACAACTGTTGCTACTAGAATAGCAAATAAGTAGTCCTCTGTAGTATATAGTAAAATTAATACAAACTATATTAACTTTAATCACATACTTTGATTATCAAACCAGCAAGTTTTGTGACATAATTTTACAATAATAAAGAATTTTTTTCTGTGCTAGTATAATTTCTAATAACTTTATTTAATTTATTCAAAAATTTTAAAAATTTTTATATTTGTTTAATATATTAAATTAATATAGAGAACCTTTCCTAAACTTTCGCTCAAATGTTAGAGATATTTAATCTTAAGTTCTCACAAAGCTGGCTATACAAGTTCAAAAAAAGGCACAGGTTAAAACGAGTAAAAAAGCATAGAGAAGATGCTTCTGTGGATGATGCCATTATTGCTGCTGCTATTCCTTAGTTGAAAGAATTATTAAAAAATTATGATCTAAAAGATATATACAATATGGATGAAACTGGGTTATTTTATTGGTACTATATAACAAATTATATTGTATTAATTGATACTTATCTTTAACTTTTTTTTTCTTTTTTTAGTCTTGAATCTGATACCACTTTAGCTACTAAATGTCTTAAGAGGAAAAAAAGATTTGGAGCAGTTAACTTTAGCACTTTGCGCAAATCCTAATGGTACAGATAAAATAAAAATATTTGTAATTAGTAAGTCTTCCAACCCACTTTGCTTCAAAGGTGTCAATCATAAAAGACTTGGTGTTAAATATGATGCAAGTCATAAAGCATGAATGACAATGATTTTGTTTCAAAACTGGCTTAAAGAATTTGACTCAAAGATGGCTGGCCGTAAGATAATTCTTTTATTAGATGGTGCAAAAGTTCATTCTACTACTAATTAAAATCTTTGTAATACAACTGTCCATACCTTACCTCTGTATACAACATCCCATATTCAGCCTATGGATGCTAGCATTATTATGTCCTTCAAGCATCATTACTGAAGTTACTTTATCAAATAGTTGCTTGACAAATATGAAGCTAAAAAAGATGAAAAAATGAATATTCTTGATGCCATAAGGTTTATTGCTCAGGCATGAAAAGAAGTAACACCAGAAACAATATGTAACTGTTTTCAATATACAGGAATTCTTCCAGATACTCAAGATAATGAAGAATCCTTCATTGATAATAATGACGACGAATTGATAGATGAACTTTATTCAGATATTGAGGCACTTAACTTCAAAACATTATATCAATTACCCAGGTGAAAAGGATACACATGATGTATTGAGTGATGAAGAAATTTTGGATCTGGCCACTAATCTTGAACCTGAGAATGAAAGTGCTGAAGATGATAACAGTACAGAAATGCATCAAATCAGTCATCAAGAAGTATTAAATGCAGTAGAAATACTTGAACAATATATTGTGCAGAATGATTTTAGTAAAATAGCCCAATTTGAACATGATAAAGCTTTACTGAAATTGCAAAAAGGAATAAGAAAGTTTCGAATTGCATCTTTTAAGCAAACAAGTATTGAAACTTATTTTGAGTTGGTTGATTAGATCGTGGTTTTTTATACTTATCTTTTTAAGAAACAGAAATCTTTATAATAATGCTGGTCTTAGTCTTTATTTTTTTATAATTCGAACTTGACAATGAAGAAAATGTGTTAGCAAAGTCTCAAACTTTAAATAAAAATAAATTACAAGTAATGCCCCTTACTTATCTTTTTTGTAGATCATTGTGATGTTTTTAAGTAAGATGCCTGTTTATGTATAAATTATTTTATTATTATACAGTTATATGACTAAATTAAAAAAAAACATTTAACATGTTAACATTAGTGTACATAGTAAATGTAGTAAATGTAAGCGAAAGAGAACTTTATCATATGTAATAAAGATATTATGTTAAATTATTCACGGGATTTTGAATATTGCCTCAATACTCCCTAATTACAACCCCCTCTAAATGCACGCCTCAGAGCCTGTCCTGATGACTTGCATTTAGGGAGGGTTGACTGTATCTTTATTTATCTACTTCATTTATATTTCAGTATTTCATATTATTTTTATCATTGCCTATAACCTACTACTGTATTATCATTATCTTACTACACTTTAACTTTGTACCTTTTTATATCTTTATAATAACCCACCTTAATTTACTACTTATTCCTTTTTTTTTTTTTTAATATTATTCTATTTCACAACTCCCTGCTTTAACATGATGCTTTTTACTTGTTGATATTATACGTAAACTATAATAATATTCTCATCTAATGGATATTATTGCAACTCGGCCGTTTTTTAATAAATATAGAGCAATTTTAAAAAACAAGTAAAGAATGTAATTTTATTTTGTTTATTTTACCTATTCATTTATTTTATCTATTTGAATTTTTTTTTTTACTTTATCTAAAAAAAAAAACTTAAACTTGTGCATTAAGGTAAAATCGATTCTCAAGAAATTTGAGTCAATGGAGAATTCCATTTTATATTGGTTCCAAGTTTGCAAATTTTACGAGACCTATTACCTTTGTGCATCTGATAAATTGCAGGAATATTATTGCGCTTTGCAGATGATCGATGGAAATTTTGGAAATTCTAGATTGTCTATTGATCAGTTATGTTCAATAGAATAAGTGCGCAAACTCCGTAACTCTGCTAAATACTGTATCTATTAATGATTACTAATCATTAGCGGAGTTTATTTTTTATATTGCTCACTAATCTATAGAACATCCTGTAGCAGTAACGAATATTTATCAGTTGAATTAGGCCAATTGAATAATAGTCTAATGTACAAACTTTTTTAAAAATTTCAAAAGTAACAGAATCATGCAGTTTGGATTACCTCACGTTCGTTCTCCAATAAATTAACTTTGGGAATCATGCCATAACCTATTCAGGATTTCATTATATTTATTCCTTCAAACAAACTTTTGTTCCCGTACTGGAGATATGCTAGTGAAAATACAAGAGATGATGTCGAAAGTATTGACACATCCACTGCCGAAGGTGTGTTTATACTTTTTTTTTTTTTTGAATATATGTAATATTTTAACCGGCGTTTCATTTTTAATTATTGCGAATTTATCTCTTTTCCATTTCTCGAATTATTTCAAAATTTATTATAAAGAATCATATTTATTTTCAATCAGCATTTTAATTTGATGGATATATTAAATCATAATACCGTTACGTTGAGATTTAATCCGATTTTGCTAACCACTCATCTCTGTTCAATTTGCCATTGTACCCTTTTTTAACACAGTCAGATGTCTGAGTTTTTGAATAAAATTATAAAATTGAAACCCAGTTTCTAAAAGAAAATCAAAAGTTGTTTTACCGACACATTGTCTAAACGATCTTTTAAAGTTTAATTAGCTGATTTGTGGAAATTTTTAAGTTAGAATTTGCTTAATAAATTTTGAGCAAATTTGGTAAAGAATCCTTCCCAAACAGAAATTTCTAATGACAATGACAGTAATACAGAGTGATTCTTTCACTTTATCACTTAAATTCTGTTCAGGAGAATTAGTCAACTTGTCATATACATTTTTTTTTTCTGATTGTATACTAAATTTTTAAACAGAATTAATGTTTTTCATAGTGTACAGTATACCCTGTCAAACGGCATGCATGGTAGACAAATTTTACATCAGCTAGAAAAGGCTATCAGATTTGAATTACTATATTAGAAACAAATATGGATAATTTTTCGCACTTCTGAAATCTGTGCCAGGTTATGTCGATCACCGAATCGAAAAGCATTAAGCACAGATTTTAATTTACTTTATATTTGATATTTAGGTATACTCATATAACTAAAATTTTGTGCTGAAGACTTTTGTTTAGAAGTCAAACTAAATCTTGAGTTATTTGCGATTTTTTTATTTTCTCAATGAGAAAACAGAAAATCGTAAATAACTCAAGATTTTACTATGATAACCGTAGTTTGACTTCTAAACAAAAGTCTTCAGCACGAAATTTTAGCTATATGAGTATACCTAAATATCAAATGTAAAGTAAATTAAAATCTGTGCTTAATGCTTTTCGATTCGGTGATCGACATAACCTAGCACAGATTTCAGAAGTGCCAATTTTTCATCGATTTTGATAAGTTTTCGATTTTATCAGGATCAGGTTTGACAGGTTATACTGTATTGAATTTTTTTCAACAATCAGTATTGTCAATTAATGATGGTAAAAGACAATTGAACGTACATCAATGTCAAGTATGTAGTACCACTATTGCCCGTTGTGAGGGGCAAGATCGACCCTATTAGTTTATTTTTACACTATTGCCCTCGAAATTCCCGAATTTATAGTTATAGATAGTACAAGTTGTAGGAATTCCCGGAATTCTTTAGATAATAGGAATCTTAGAAATAACGAGAATAATAATTATTCTCGATATCAAAAAGATAGTAGGAATAATTTAGATTTGAAGAATTCAAATATATGGAGTGTTCCAAGTTAAAAGGGCCTATTTTTACATATATTTTGAGATATTTGTGTTTAATTATTTGTTTTGAATTTCGGACTGATCCGGGATTAATCAAATTTCACGAATTTGATTGGTTAAAGGCGGCAGGTGACTATCGGGTAATCTCGTGACGTGTTGGCTCTACGCAGCCTCATGTAATTTTTCTTTTTACATTATCTTGATTTTTTATTATGCAAATCGACTTTCATTTATAATTAAAAAAAGTCAATCATGTCAAAATTTATATGAATCTAACGAAAACTCATTTTTCAAAAAATTGTAAAAATGGGACCTTTTAACTTGGAACACCTCATATGTAAGGATAATTATATAAGGAGAGCGTTTCTCCGGTAATAAAGCATCAGTTAAGTTATACTTCGAAATCATAACAGTAGAAGTACTTATCTTTTTCCCTTTGCTCCTAAATAAATCGTCCAACTAACTTCGTTACTGTCCCAGTATTGTAAGATAAACCGATTGTTACGTTGTATAACCCTAAGTAGAGTCTTGACCTTCGGAATTAGAGTAGAAGTGCTGACTCTGCGTTCTATATTGATAAAACCTTACCCCAAGTCGTTCAACTCTTTAGAGAATAATAAGAATTGAATAAAGATAAAAACCCTCTTATAAATATACTTAACCTTACCCGTGACGCATTGTTATCACTAATTAGTATTACAATCGCATTAGTGATCGAAGCATTGTTGCATATTAATTGCATCGATCAGTCAAATTTCCCGTGACATCAGGAGCTCGTGATCTCATCGATCAATTGAAGATCCAACTTCCGACCTCAGCTAAAATCTACTCGTGACGTCAATCCGAATTAAGCATCCGATCTACCGATATTCTTACCCGTGAAGTAAAGAATATTAAACTACCGAACACCGCAGTAGTTATCACCCGGGATCCACGTGACAATCGTTAAGAATCTTAACGATTGTATTAAAGACTGGAACCCGCTAAAACTTAACTCAAGGAAAAGACATACTTAGCTTCTGGCTAAAGTATATTAGTAACCGAAACAAGTATAATCCAACGGTATACTTATCTTATCCGCCAAGAAAGCCACTGCAAGACCCGAAAAGCTTCGAGACTCGGACCAAGTTTCTCCACGCCTTCTTTCTGCTTGCCAAATCGAAGTCTTTAAGGTCTTGGATTGTAGCTTAGATAGTTTTAGTGTTATAGTTTATTTATTATTGGCATAGTTTTAGTTTAAGACAATCGACCCACACGTTTTCACCGTATATGAAATATGGCAAGTGAAAATTCTTTCGAACTAATTTTGTAATTCGTTATTAGATTTTTTTTGAACTAGTTTCATAATTGTACAACTACTATTGAACTAGTTTGAGCTAGTTCACTGCCAGTTCAATATTGAAGATCCAATTTTAATTGGCTTAGCATCCTTAATTTAGCAAAAATTTTTAGACAAGATCTGAAAGATCAGAAATTTACTACCTTTTACGATTTATAAATTAAGAAATACGTTTTAAAGTTTAGAGTATTTTTGGAAGTGATAAATTCATCGGCAATATGTCAGTCCATATTACGTTATATGTTATGTAATGAAATGCCTTTTAATGGTTTCGCAAATATTATTTGATAGTTAACGAAAGCTCAATTGTCGGCTCATCTAAAATGGCTAATAATCTAAACCAATTGCATTTAGAAAATAATAATTCATTGAATTTTATTAATGAAACCGTTAATGAATTATGTAATATTTATAAAGAAGAAAGCTTGAAAGAAAGAGATAAAAAATCTATTCTTGATACAATGAACAATTTTTTAGCAAAAAAGAACCAAGATCCTGATGATATTGTTAATTGGTGCTTGAATAATCAATTCAATTCAACCATCCAAAATATTCTTGCTTGCTGTTATCGTTTTGGTAAGTGGGTTAAAAAAGACGAACATAAGGCATTCGGTTATTATCAAAAATCCGCTGATATGGGAGATACCAGTGGGATAAACAATCTTGCATCGTGTTATCAATATGGATTTGGTGTTGAAAAGGATGAACACAAAGCATTCATTTATTATCAAAACTCAGCTGATATGGGAAATGCTTACGGAACTTTTACTGTTGGATCTTGTTATTATTTTGGAATTGGAGTTGAAAAGGACGAATATAAGGCATTTATTTATAAGATAGCTGCGCAGCACGCAGTGCCGCGCAAGACCAGTACGATCAGCGTTTTTTTGTTTCTTGTTTGTAATGTATTTATTTGTTTGTTTTGTATTACTTTTGGTTGTTGTTTAGATTTTGTCGGGTTTTTTGAATATGAGGGATTTTTGATCTATTTTTATATTTATCATGTGTGTTATATATAAAATTGTATTTTGTCATACTAGACTATTTGCTAGTTGTAAAGTTAGATCGAGTTAAATGGCCTATTTTATGAATGTTTTTCACGAGAGTTGTTAGTTACTGTTTATTTATGTAATATAGTTGTGTTTGTTCGAGTTGTGGTTAGTTGAATGTATGTGAGCGTGGTGTATTTTTTTAATGTTGTAATGTATTGGATTTATTTTGAATGTATATTATTTGGAGATATGTTTTTTTTTCGTTTTACAATTTTCTATTATATTTATTTCTTATTTTGGATTAATGTAGGTGGTTTTATTGATTTTTTTTTGTTTTATGTGATTATGTTTTGTAGATGTTTATTATATATTTTGAGACCATTGTTTTATTTTAAGTTTTTTATTAGTCGTTTGCATTGGATTCATATGTACGTGTTTTTATTATATGGTTTTATAGGGATTTTAGAATTTATTTTGAATATTTTTGTTTTAGCGTGTTTTTATGTGTGTGTGTTTTATTTATTTTTGTATATTGTATATGATGCGTGTTTGTTTTATTTTTTAGTTTGTTGTATGAGTGTTGCTATGGGAAAATCTTTAATCGGGCATTCATATTTTGTACTGGGTAAAATCTATTTAATTTTTAGTGAATATGTTTGGTATAAAATATTATCGAGAGCCCGATTGGGGGTTTTCCCTTTGGTGTTACTCATATGCGGTTTAGGTATGTATTTGATTTGTTTTATTATGTTTTGTTGTGAGAGTTTTTTTTTTATTTTGTTGTATTTGGGTTAATGTTAGTTTATAATTATTGGAATACATCATTATTATGCGTGGGAAGATTAGTTTTCGTTTGTTTGATTTAGTCTAGATTATTTTTTATAAATTCATATGTCTTTTTTTTTTTAGATTAGTTTGATTTACGTTTGTGTGAGATTTTTCTTTTGTACGTTATATTGTTATGTTATTTAAATGAATATAACGGGCTCGTTATTCATTATTTTTTTTTAACGTGTTTAGATGCCATGTTGTATTGATACTATTGTTAAAATTGTTCAAGTTCGTCAAACTGATAGGGATGAATCTAATTTTACTGTTGTTTGGGCTTTGGGTGTTTATCCAGTTGAAAGTGAAGATCACGAGATGGAAATTACTCTTTTTGTTCCAATTAATGAGGTTGAAAGGGATCCTAATGCTCAGTCGGTTTTTGTTAAAAGCAAATATTATAGTGTTTGTGGAAAAGTCGTTCCTGGAGTTTATAATGGCAAATTTAGATTAAAAGTAAATTTGTTTACGTTTATTAATGTGTTGTATTCTGTTTTTGCTGATTTTTTTTTAAATTTAGATGACTGCTTTGTCGTCAACTCATTTTACTCTCCAAAGGGATCTTGGTTCTAATCGTTGTTCTTTAAAAGCTTCTTTAGTTGGTATTGCTCAAGATTTTCTGAAGGAAATTGATAATGAAAGCGCGATGTTTAAATTATCTGTTAATGATTATGCTGGAAAGAATTATAGTTTTGTTATCAATATCATTTTTCCACATCTTAATAGTCGATTCAAGTATCTTATGAATTCAGTTCACTCAAATGAGTCTGTACTTTTTATTGTTGGACATTTGGAAGTTTTTAAGGAAGATTTATACTTATATGCAGCCGATACTTCTTTTGTAGATTTTTGTTCTGTTGGCAAAAGAAAAATTTCTAGTTTGAACGATTCTTAGTCCACGTCTGGATTGTACAGGTCTGTTTGTTCAAGGCTTTTTACTGTTCATCAGAATGTTGTTGAAAAGCTGCATCAAGCGTTGTCAGTTGAAGCGGATAAATTTCCAGTAGATTCAGCTACTATTGGTTTCTGTTCAAGACACACGAGAGTTGAAGATGGTGAGGATGATGATGTTTATGTTAAAGATGTTGAATGCGATTATGGTAGTTGTGGGCAGTCAGTTGTATATAGTAAGGAAGATGTAGGTGATATTGCGGTGATACAAATGATAGTAGAAGTAATTCGCGTGGTTGTGTTAAGGGAGATAAGGGTAAGGAGAAAGTTATTCATCCTGTCGTGCACAATACGAGAAGTCGAGTTGAAACGGTTAAGGTTGTGAATGTGAATGAATAGTTTTGTGTTTATAGTTTATTATTATTATTATTATTTTTGTGTTACACTTGATTTTTGAGTTAATTGCGTATGTTAGCTTTTTTTGATATTTTTTTTTGTATATAAATATGAATGTAAATTTCAGTGTTAATGATGTTGTTGTAATTTTTTTTTTAAGTTGTTAAGTTTTAAAATTTTTATTTGTGTTATAACTTATTTGTTCATTTTTATAATGTCATTTTATTTATAATACTGTTTACGGTTTAAGTCAATATTTTATTCTTTGAAGGTTTAAACTTTTGAAAGGTTTTGTTCCACGTGATTAGATATCAATTTTTGTTCAGTTAATTAGATCGATCAGTATTATAATTAATTTATTTAATGGTGATTATTATGATGTGTGGATAATTTAATTAAAGTTAAATATTTATGAGTAAAATTAATTGATGACGTAATCTTTCTTATTGCATATATTCGTATTGAGGTGATTATTTTTTATTTTAGTTACAATGGTTGGCATTTGGCCATGTATTTAATTGTTCTGTTATTTTTGAGAGTTTTTCAAAATGCTCAAGTTCTTTTTTAAGATCTGAATCAATAGTTACGTTAAGTTTTGATTGGTTAAAAGGTCTAAGTATCATCATATCTTTTAGTTTTTGTACCCGTGATAACATTACGTAAATGCCTGCTCTTCTATTTCCGCCATCCAAATCAACTATAACCTTTTTTAATGTAGCCCCTTGACATTTAAATTCCATTGCTGCGAAAGCTGGAGTGATAGGCAGCTGCTTTCTTTGAAATTCCCGAGTTATGTCTGTTCCATCTCTTGTTTTATGAGTGTATCTGCATTTTCGTTTGATTGGATAAATTGGCACATGATTTGGTGGAAGACCATTATATGCGTTTGGTTTTTGGTCTAGAATTTCTATTATTATGTATTTAGGAGATTTGTTAAATATGATAATTTTTTCTCCTTTATTATTCACATTTCTTATGATCGATGCTGTAATATCATATATTATTTTACGTAGTATGCCTTGGGCTCCATTAACCATACCATCGTTTGTACATATATTTATCGTTAAAGCTACTTTCATGCCTATTGACAGTGGTATTATACCACATAGAGCGTTTGACTTAGTGTCTGTTACGCTTAGAAATTTATGCCGTATATTGCCACAGATATGTTTATTTTTGTACATGTCTTCTGCACAGATGTAATAGATAGGTTGGTCATTGTTTTTTGCATGGTTGATTGTGGCTTCAAAGTTAATTTGAATTCTTAAATCATTTCTTCTGACTAAAAATACGGCATCTTTCCATTCGGGTGTATTTATTTCTTTTTCTGTTATTATACGACTACGGAGAGTTTCACATTGTGTCGATGTTATTTGACCATACCGTAAATTGTCTAGCATCATCGAGTATTCTAAGTCATCGATTTGACGCATTTGTTGTTTTAGCATTATTACATGTTTTACTGATTCCCACAGTTCTCTTCCATTTATATTTATTAAAGTTCGAATGTTAATAGGCTTTTTAAGTTGTGAAGATATTGTTTTTTTAATACTGTTAGGTTTATATAAAGGTTGATCGAGTACTGGGGAAGTTATACGAAATCGCCTACAAAAATTATATTTAAGCCGGCGAATGGTATGGTATCATTTTCTGGGTGTTTTGCTTCTTTTAGGCACGCATGAAACTTGGTTAATAGGTCTTGTCCTATCATAGAAATCTCGTCTATCACAACGTATTTTATATTTGTACAGCGATCTTGAAGTAATTTTTTTGGTTGTCCTTTTGAAAAGTTATTTTTATAGTTTTCGTCATCATCGTCGCTAAATTTAAATCCACATAAGGAGTGTAGGGTACATCCTCGGATATTGGACGCAGCAAAGCCGGTTGGGCACAAACTGCAAGAGTTTTTTTTTGATCGATTAGATCGAAATATTCACAGATTGCTTCAATTATTTTAGATTTC